CGGATCAGATTGATTTTGTACTTTCTTGGTGTGAAAGAATCCCACTTGGTGTAAAGACCTGTGAAGGTCTTTTTTCGGTGTACTGTTGTAGAAAAGGCACTTTGATGGCGTTTGATGAGGACATCTAAGAATGGGATCTCTTGGTTTTCTTCGAGTTCTATAGTAAATTTGATATTGGGATGCCTGTTGTTGACATGCGTAGTTCATGTGTTATGTTTGTTGCCGCTGCTTCCATTTTATTTCTTGTTAAATTGAAATGGCCAAAGAACAAGAGTGTTTATAATTACTTTTCCTAGTACTTTAACTTCTAAAAACAAAGATCACGCAACGCCATACTGTTAAATTCAAAATGCACTGGTTTCCTAACGAAGGCGCTATTTGAGATTGACATATATAATTTAGCATCTCTTACTGTGCCTGATGAGGATAAAACTTTGGTAGCTCTTCAGATTTGACGATGTCACGTAAAAACGCTCCCAATTAACTTGCGTGACACTGTTTGCTCGTTTCTTATGGTCAGCGGTAAAGCAACAGATATGCACAGCCCTCCCTTAGCAGGAAGCGAAAACTCTAAAGATCATTAAAATTTGCCGTTTTAGAACATCAAAGTACACAATAACAAGCTTACATAAATTCATTTTATTAGTTAAATGTAGATATGATCACATATTTTTCAAGACATCTCGCAGTCTTTGTTAATATGGTGAAATTACAACACCTTTACCCTCCCCACTGAGGTTTGCTGTACTAGCTCCTCCCCTGTAAAATGTGAACAAGACTCGCTTGACAGCCGCCACTCTGCGATCAAAAATATTGAATTTCACCTTGTTATATAATTTTGATTTTCTACCACAGTATTACAGTGCTTCAGCAGAATCTTCTACAAGCTTAAAAAGGGATGTGGAGTCAATTTATCCGTGAAAAAAGTGACTCAAACCGAGCGAAAACGTTATGACTTCCCGGTTGACACGTCAGCCTCAGTGGCGGGTTCTTAATTGAAGATCTGTGATTTAGGATGAACTTTGCTTCGGGAATCATCGCGATTTCTTTATAAACCATTGGAAATCATACTGGATACTTCCTCATGGCTTTGTCCCTTTTTCTAAGGCGATTGTTAAGGTGTCGTTCATTCAAGAAAACTATGATATTCCTGGTAGTCGTTCTTGCACAGATATGGTTGGCAATTCCAGTACTCTTTGGTCAACGTGGACAGACATGGCCCCAACAATTCCGCGTTGTTTTCCCGCAAAATTTCCAGGCACCATTCGTTCCTCTGGTCATTTTTAGCTCTTATAGGCCAAGGTATTTGGAAAGGACGTTAGATTCAATTTCGTCCGCGGGAAGCATTGTCCCTTCCACACCTTGTTTGTTTATCTTGCATCACACTAAAGCCTCTTCCATGGAAGACATCAACGAGACTTACAAGGTGCTTGGCAAAATCACATTTTGTAGAAAGCTAGTGTGGACATTCGGAAATGAAGAGGAGGAACGGAGCCCTGAAGTTCTGAAAGCTCACTGGTGGAATACGATGAAAAAAGTGTTTGACGAACATGGTGTGTATTTCATCAATGTGTGGTTCTAGAAAAATATGGTACATGTGTACTAAAGGCATCTGGAGTTGAGTGTTGATCCATACCGTCAACTGACCTTTGATCAACTCTTGGTCAGTATCTTGATCAACTCTTGATATATGGCCGAGTGTCAGCTGACTCATGTGTATTGATTGACACTTGATGGCCTGTCTGCAAAAATTAGTCAACCCTCAATCGATGTTCAACTGAGATTTCGATCAAGTGTCAACCAATGTGTCAATTTATCACTGGACCCTGGATGCCTTTAGTACATATGATNCCTAAGAATTGTTTCACCAACCATAAGTCGCATCTGGCACGTAGGTGATAATGATTTGGGATCCACCGGCGATCCTGATAAGAGCAATAACTACAAGCCTCAACAGTTTCCACCATGGAAACGGGCTCGAGAGCAAAGATATTTAAATAGGCACAAGGCAAATGTGTTGCCTGGTGTGCGAGACATGCATGGGCGGCTGTGTCACCCATGTGAAATGGAGCTAAGAAAATACAAATTTTCAGGGGGAAGCTATAATTGTCGTTGCCTCTGTCCAACAAGCAACCTGCAGAAATACATTAACTGGCAAATGGCTGCATTTGCAACAGATGTCAATCCCAGAATGCATTGTACTCTAGTGTCGCATTTGATGACCATGGTTATATTTATCTTTGTTGGCATGCTGATGTTTGGATATCTGATGTCATCACGTTGATCACTACATAGCACAGTTCATACAGGATTACTTTTTCTGAACTTGAAAAGCTCTTGGAAAATTAGATTTTGACTGTTAGGAAAAGGGTTGCAACTTCTTCCGATTTATAACAAGTTTGTTTGTTTTGGATGACCATGGTGTGGAGATTTTAAAATATTTGTGAACTTTGTGGACCTTTAAAATTATGAATTCCTACAGATGTTATTAATAATGACTTAAAAGTTAATGATCACAGAATTTCTCATAAATTCCTCCATCCAGGGGATCATAGGATTGCTATGGAATTAACAGATAAAAGAACTCTGCGCATGATACATTTTCTAGGAAAATAATTTTACACTTAATAATTATAATAATTTATAATAATTTAATAACTTCTAGAGCACTATTTATATTTACTGCTGATCAACAGCGCTTTACAAGTTAACTCATAAAAACATGAAGACACGGGAAAAGGAAAGAGGGCATGGATTGTT